CTTGGTACATGTAGGTTGTGACTTGGAAGTACGTGTAGGTGTAGATTTTGATGGTCGTCCTCTTTTCTTTTGTTTTACGGCACTTGCATTTCCTGTTGATTGTCCTTTCTCATATCTGATTTTTGCTCGTTTAATGTATGTTTTATTTGTGAGATCTTTGTAACAAGTCTTGTGGTACGAAACACTTTTCTGTAGCAGATCATCAACAGACAAACCACTTAAGCGATCCTTTAATGCAGAGAACATCAGTTGTATTAATTAGTTTTTCTACTGAGGACAAAGAAGGATGAAGCACATAGTTTGTATAATCTGTTTGTCTGCTGCTCACTTGACAAATGAAGCAAAGTTTAAAATCCACAGTTTTCGACTTCTTTTTAGATGAAAATTCTGCCATGTTGGTTAATTATGGATTCTAAGCTACATTGTGTTTCCTGTGGACACTTTTTTCCTGCAAATACAATGAAAATATATTTTTATATGCATATATGAAACAACCTTATATATCTAATATGGAACAACTGCATCCAGCAACTGCATTGAAGGTGGTTTGCTACCATTTGAATTTAATGTCAGATTTCCATAATATTTCCTACAGTACTTATGAATTCATAAAGAAAAATTTACCATTGAATCCTATGGGAATAATATTTCATCATATCTCAAGATTTGCACGGTGACATGGGATGAAAAAATCATATATAATAACCTTGGGTATACGAATTATTGTCATGAAATATTAAAACAATTTCTAGATTCAAAATATGTTTTTTTTATCAAATAATGCTTTACAATGGTTTCCTCTGGAGATATTTTTAATATGGAATTTTTTTTATATTTTATGTAGTTTATCTCTGAAAACATTTTTTCTCTGAACTAAAAAAAGTTAATTTATTGATCACTAGTGCCATAATTAATAATATTATCATCATTTGGAAATAAAATATTGTGATAAGATTTTGACCCTAGAAATGGTAGCAAACTACCTTAAACATTGATTTTCAGGGCGCCATATTTAATTTTAGATGGTAGGTCTGGCTGAAACTTCACAAAATATAAGATTAGTAGTTATAGGGAAGTTGACA